GAAGAAGTTATCCTCAAGGAGATTGCTGTGGACCTGAGGCAGCATGCAGCTTCTATGAGCACCACAGGCATTGATTCCAGGGATCTGAAGGGAAGGGGAAGGGGAAGGTAAAAGGATGCAAGCATGCTCCTCTCTCTCCATAGAGCTCAGAGAGACATGGAAGAAGAGTAAGACTGACACAGGATCTCACTGGAAAGGCCCTGCAGCAAAGCCTCAGCCTCCTCCATTGAAGATCCACCCAAAGGTCTGATGCTCAGAAAATTGGATAGAAGTACTTAGTCTGGCCCATAGTGAATACCTGCTATAGTTCTCTTTTTGTCCTTAATACAACAGCTGGTTCTGCAATGCTGATATGTGTGAAATTTTTATTCATGTATTTATAAGGTGGTTGATTTCTTTGAATCTATTTAACTATTTAAGCTAAGTAGTGGGAGGTGGGGACAAGAGGAAACCCCAAATTGAACAAGTCTTGCCCGGCTAAGGCAGACAGGCTCCTTAACCCCAAATTGAACGTCATTCCAGCTAAGTAGAAAATAGCTGGATGACAGGTTCAAAAGTGCGGAGCTTTAAAATGCTTACTAATTATCCTTGTTTTAAAAAAATGGTTAAGACCTTATCTGGGTCTGACATGTGGTGTGAAGGTCTGAGGCAGGTCTAGGGACCTGTCCGTTCCTGGCCTCCATACTTTCCCATAACTCCTCAGGAAACTGATGCAGGAATTGCATCACTTCTGCTCAGGAAGTCACTAGGTTTTTGGGTGGCTGCAAAGATGCTGTGTAGACCTGTTTAGGCCATCCGTGCAGCCCTCAAAAGGAAACATAAGCTATAGGCCAAGCTAAACCTTGCGTGGTCCGTTTCCCTATATCTACCCATATCTAGCTTGTATTACTATAGCTGAACTACCCTAGCTCAGGGTTAAAAAGGGACCCTCGGCCACGCGGTGAGTGCTTCCAACTTGCCCAAAAGGCGAGTCTCTTGCTTCCATCCCCCGTTGACATCCCGATCATCATATCTCTCGCGATCAAATCGCACCGAAGCGAACTCACTCAACTCGGCTCCCGACTTTCCGTCAAACACGACCACCTTGAGCGCTCGACATGTTTGCCCCAACTGCTGTGGAATAGAAATCCACTCCCGAGTCGTGAGATCCCGGAACATCTGGGTATGGAGGGTGAAGGAGACCATCTTCGTCATCAATTCGAATGCTTCCAGTGCCACGGGTAAAATGAAGCGGGAGACGGTCTAAAATGTGGTAGATAAGTGAGATGAATTCATAATGAACATGACTGTGCGCTTACATCACCTCCGTCCTCCGTCCACATGGCTGTCAACTCCAGCTCTTCGAGCTGCGACAAGTGCGTACAAACAGCCGCAAGTTCTACCATCCCGATATGCTCGATTTGCAGCCACATCGACTTGAGCGGGCCAGTCGACTGTTTCCACGCCGGCAACAACATGAACATTTCGATCTCGGGCCGGGAGAATGTGTCCTCTATGACTACGCGCTGCACTGGCCTCCCGGGTATAAGCATCGTGACCATTCCAAATGGACCACTCAGTGTCTGTAAGTGGGGCAGTGCGGTTCTGGGAAATGCTTGCAGTGTTTCGTCCCAGAACCTATCGGGCAATCCGCCGGCGGAGACGCTAAGCTCCCGGAGCTGTGGTAGCTGGTGCAGAAAGGCAACGCGGTGGGAGAGGCTGTTGCCGCACAGATCGAGTTCGAGGGCTGTCACGTTTGAGCTCAGGGAGATAGATAGAAGGCATAAGTTTGTCCAAATGTAGGGGCGAACTGAGAACACTAGGCGCCTGAGGTTGGGAAGAGAGCGCAGTATGCGAGAGAGCAACCGATCGAGCGCCGGGTAGAGATTGATCCTTGTCACCAACATAGGATCATAACCACAGGCCAGGAGGTCGAGTTTCTGGGCGTACTTTCCCAAACGAGGGTCGTGGTCCAGCGTCCGCCAGAGCATGATCAAAGATCGTCCACCGGATGGTCGGAGATTTGCATACAGGTGCGGGTCGCAGCGGCGTGGAAGGCCGCATTAGTAAGACAGACATTGTAGAAGTCTCTGCGCTCCTCGAGGAACACGTCTACTATGTGTTCGACAAGGTCGAAGGGCAGCATGTGAGGTATACGAGATGGTGGTGGTAGTGAGACAGCAGTTGGTTGGGGTGTCAACACGCAAACGTGTGGTGACGGTGATGTAATTATCACGTGCTCTGCCCAGGGATCCCCTTTGTCGGGTCCGTGATCTTCTCTGTACGAGGCGCACAGAGCGCTTTGCAGCCCATGTTGCCCACCACGCAAGGAGCGCCAACTCATAAGAATCATATCCTCACTTCTCATGGTCGACCTCCATGGTGAGTGTCGAGTGAGATGTATCTGAAGCCAGAATAAGTCCTTTTCCCCAGGTACGGACCGGACGGATTGCCGATCCATAATGCTTTCGTCATTGGCATTGCCGGAGGCTCAGCGAGCGGCAAGGTCAGCTAGCCATGTGATGTTGTTCGACTGCATTCTGAAGATGGTGTAGACCTACGTAGCAGAGAAAATCATCCAATCACTCCAGTCCCTCCCAAGCATCCTCATTCTATCCCAAGCAAGTCCCCAAACACGACTCCTGTAGAATGCTCTAATGTTCGACACTCTCGGCAGGACAGCTTCTATAAAAAGCATAATGAACAAGAGCTCGCACTGGCATTCTCCAACGAGTACGATTTCGATCACCCCTCCTCGATCGATATGGAGCTCTTCGCCCAGGTCTGTCGTGGAACCCTATCTCATCCTCCGCGCTTATCTTGCGTTCAGTGCCTCAAGGACCTGAAAGAATACAAACAGACTCATATACCCATATATTCTTTTGTACATCATCAGCGGCTACCAGAGACGAAATACCTCTACGGCGCTTCAGTAATCATAGGCATGTCCCCTCCCCTCCAGAGTTTCGTGGGCTCATCCCGTCCTAGTCGAGGGGATAATGACACTCCTCGATCCGGCATTGCGGGACCTCTACGACCTCAAGATTTTCGTACAGTGTGATAGTGACCTGATGCTTGCCCGTCGACTGCGACGCGATATCCAACAACGCGGGCGGTCAGTAGACGATGTCCTGAAGCAGTATCTACGGTTCGTCAAGCCCGCGTTCGACAACTTTGTCGGCCCGAGTGCCAAGTATGCGGATGTTGTCAGTCTCTTCTTTGTATGCGATAGAGAAACTACTGAATAGGGGAGGTAGATCATACCCGGAGCAGCGAATACCGTAGCTATCGACCTGGTGGTGAACCACATACGCCGGAAACTGGCCGAACGGCACGCGAGTTTCAGATCGGAGCTGTCTCGCGCCCAGCCGGCGATCGAGCAGGGTTGGGACGCAGAAGTCTCTAAATGGCCAGGTGTTGTCCTCCTCCGGCAGACTCCGCAGCTAAAGGTACTTCCACCTCTCGGTATTGAGGGGAAACTGATAGGTAGCAGGGAATACACACCATATTGCGGGACGAGACGACCTCGCGGGAAGACTTTATCTTCTTCGCTGATAGGCTCGCGACGCTCGTCGTAGAGTGTGGGATGGACCTGCTCCCATATGTGCCACACAGTGTCCAGACGCCGACGGATGCGATCGCCCACGGGCTGAAACTGACCGCCCATGTGTGCGGGGTGAGCATCATCCGCGCGTGCGTCTGTTTCTCCCTCCTCTCCCAGGCAGCTAATAGCGCGCAGAGGCGGTCCCCTACAAGCAGGACTACAGCGTGTGCTCAGGGACGTTCCCCTCGGAGCGCTGTTAATCCAGTCCGACCCAAGCACGGGCGAGCCACTGCTCCTGCACACCTCCCTCCCCTGCTACATCCTCCACCGCGAGCAAGCAAAAGACACCTGGGTATTCCTTCTCGACTCGCAGATCGGCACAGGCGCAGCAGCGCTAATGGCCATCCGTGTTCTGCTGGACCACGGCGTACAAGAAGAACACATCATCTTCCTCACCTTTCTCATCAGCCAGCAAGGCGGGCCCAACGTGCTGAGAAAAGCCTTCCCAGGAGTGAGGATCGTCACCAGTGCGGTGGACGAACTGCTCCTCATGGCATGGAGCGACGTAGACTGGGAGACGGGCGAGAGAAGGAGAGTGTGGAAGATCGTCCCCGGGATGGGACATATTGGGGATAGGTACTATTTATAGCCTAGACTAGGGGAAGGCGCAGCACTTGCATCTCATCCCCACGTAACATTGCGATTTTGTGGTAAAATCCCATCCATACACAGTGCAGAACATTACTGCTCTTCCTGCTCCTCCTGTTCTTCCCCCGTCTCAGCATTTGCGTTCGCGTTCGCATCCGCCTTCCCCACCCCAGGCCCTCCCTCCGAATGGTCCTTCAACCACTCCTCACTCTCCCAAATCGCCCTATTTCCCAGTCCTCCTCCCAGCCCTGCGGGACCCTTGATCGGCCTCGCTAGACTGACACGGAGGATCCGCTCGCGGAAGATGTTCAGGTCCATGTTGTCGATCGCGTCTTGGGCGTCGGCGGGGGAAGTATAGGTCAGGAAGGCGATACCACGGTAGGTCTGGTCTGGAGTGATGTTCAGCAAAATTATACAACGACAAGCAAATAGAACATGGCTATAGCAATACCAGCTATAGAACCAAAGAGAGAGGCAGGAATGCACGCACTAACGTTGTCCCTCGCCAGATCACTCGGGATCGTCGCGTCCACTATATCCCCAAAAGTAGAGAACGCAGCGACGAGGGCGTTCTGGTCTATCTCCGAACCGAGGTTGCCTATGAACACAGTGCGCTTCGTTTTGGTGCCTTGTTCCATGAGGAGGAGGGGTGGAACGAGGTGATGAGTATGCACAGGATGAGGAGAAGAGATATGGGTGGCCGAACTAAGGGCCGATGATTACCTAACGTCAAGCGCCTGCTCGTAAGAGTGAGCAAATGGGACAAAACTCAGCCTCACGGAGCCAGAATCATCTGGTACCCATACTGACTGAGGTATACTGCAGTTCTGCATGGTTTGGTAGTCCCTGCAGCAGTATGATCCGGTATTTGTTGTATCTGACATGGTATTACTCGGTATTACATAGTATCATCTCAGTATGCAATCCAATACCAATTGATACTGAACTATACTGTCTCATACCAATCATTCTGGTATTCCAGTATTGGTACAGTGTTCGTATCCATTCTGTGGAGACCCTGTATTACTCCTCATAGTCACAGCACTATATTTCTCAAATGTCCATTCTTCCTGCTCACCTAAGTCCTCACTCAGGGTCTACATCAGCTCCTGGTGTTCTCTTCTGAACCTGATCCACCTATGTAATCACACTACTGCACCCAAACATTGGTAAATTCTGAAATGCTTCTTTCCATCAATTCTCCTTTGTGATGATTCCCAATGCATCTTTCGGCACCTCCAGCTTCTGTTTACTGTGGCATACTGTATGTTCACATAGCATACCTTTTTTTCACCTCAATCTCTCTGTCTTCTTTCCTCCCCCTTTCTATCTATGCTCTCATTCTGTCTGCAATATGTCTACACTTGTACAGGATCTCCCCACACCTTGCCTCTCCGTGGTGTCTCCAACACAGCAATGCTTGTGTTGGAGGTTCACAGTTCCCTCCACTCACCCAGGTCTTCCTCAAAATGGTGGCAGTAACATCCCACTCCATACTGCAACCCTCGCCATACCCTGCCATCACTGTGGCCATGCCTTAGCCACCCATTCTCTACCATTCAATGCATTATCCACAACAACCTTGTACCCCACCATTTCTACTGATCCAGCTCCTCTGGTGCCATCCAACCTACCTGGTCCTCCAGCCAGCTCACATCCATATCACCCAAAAGACCCTGCTCTATTAGCAAATCTTCTCAGCATCTCAGCCCCCCCAGATTTCAGTGACTCTAGTGCACAGGATGCTATTCACCTTTTGGTTTCATCACAACAAGAACAGCACCTTACAGAACAACTACAGGACTCCGAAAACAGTATCACCTCAGAGAACACACATCATATAGTGTTAGCAACATGCTCTAACAGTATGCAGCTCAATACTGCACCTCACCCAGAAGGTCGACATGTGCGCCAATGTCCTATTTGCACCCGCCATGTCCTTCTGCCTGGTACAGCAAATCACATTGAGATTATGGTTCTCCTTTGGGTGTACTCTGCCTATCCAAATGCCCTTGACACAGTTTGTTCAAATCACCTGCACTTATTCAATTCCTGTCTTATATTTGTCTGTTCCAGTCTCATCACTCAGGAAATAAGCAATTCATCTGGTCTCAACTCTCTTTTGTTGAAGCGTAAGAGTGTTTCTATTGTCCTCCTACGTGCAATTCATCCTCAAATATCCTTTCAGATCAAATGCATCAGGCCTCCTTCACCTCGCAACATTACCCAGCTCTACACCTGCTGCTTCATTGGTTGCCATAGCAGCATCACTTTTCCCACATGTTCAAATACCACTGCCTTCCAACCAATCATCCCACACGGTCCCACAGAATATCACTCAGTATACTCTTGTACCTCTTTTCCCAAAGAACAATACAATGGTTCCCAATTCTCCCATGCCATCCACCCTCAGGGACATGGTCAAAATACTGTCCAGTTTTGTTCACCCCCAGCTGAAGGCACTTGGTATTCCTTTAATTGAATTTGGTATGCCATCAGTACCAATCCCTTTTTTGGTGGGCAACTGACATTGCTCTCCAAGCCCCAACTTACAAAGACCTGGATGACAATGCCCAATGTAATGCTGAATGGCTGTTGATGGATCATTTTGTAAGCGATACTGACACTTCTGGTCAACATGTGGCTAATGTATTGAGCTGTCTTTATTCTCATTCACCTCCTTTCACTGATCTTGCCCAGGCACCTGTCAACTTGGCCCAGCTTTGTCAACACATGCTTCACATCCACCCTCCTTTCCCCACATATCCTTATGCCTCACCCTCTGTTTTCTCCCACTCCTTGCCAATGTCTTTGTTAGACAGCCTCCCATTGCCAACTGCTGACCCCTTGTTGCCACCAGATCCAAGCCTCTTCAGGGGCACAACCAGTGGTGTATCTATCAATCATTCCCCCTTATCAACTGGGCCCCTTCCTCAGCCCTCCAGAACAATGGCTAATGCAATTGCAGCTCCAAGCACAAGTTCCATGCTCAGCACACACAGTAATGTATAATGCCTCTTGTACCACTGTATTCTCAAGCATTACTCCAGGGCAAGTCCTGTATTTGGTTCCTCCTCCCATGCACCACCTCCAATCCTCATCAATGCAGGGCAATATTCCAAATACCCATGAAGATCCTCACCCTGATTCACAGCTATCTACCCAATCATTTCCTTCTTGGTACCCTCTTGATGCTCCCCTGACCATTTCCTTTCCCATGTCCTCCAGTACTGTCTCTGCTCAATACTCCCCCTCTCAAACTTCAGGCAATATCAGGCAAAGTTGGGACCATCCTTTGGGTACAACCAATTATATGCCCAAGGCACAATCACAGGCCACTCCAGCTGATAATAATACCCTAGTACCAACAAATACCATGCTCATACCTGCCAGTACAGCTGTTTTACCCACCCCCCCTCCTGTCATACTTGCCAGTATACCCCCAACTCAGTCTTCATCCACCACTGCAAGGCCACACTCTCCCCATATGTCTGTCATAGACACATGGGTCTCCAGCTTCAAAACCTCTATCCAGTTTTTGAATCCCTGAACTCTACATTACTATCCACCCTGTAACAACCTCCAGGACACTTCTCTGGCCCTAAAAGATTACTTGTGCAATGCTGTGAAGCCCGTTCTAGGACTCACTCCAGATGTTCCATGGTCAATTGATGCCCTTCTGTCTGATCTCTGGTTTACAATTAGCACATATGTATCCTACCTTGTTCTTATCACTTGTCTACTCTGTATCTACCTCTCATTCCTCTTTGCAGTGGGAGTGGCATGGGGCTAGGCATGACACTCGAAATTTGCCAGGCAACATTCAAATGCTTTGCATCTTGCTTGACTTCCCTCAGCTTTGGTGAATACATGACATTGCATATCAAGTCACTCAGCTCCAGAGCTCCTCTTGAGGCAAGGGTACTCAGCTCAAATGAACAGGTCGAGCTTGCTGCATTGGGTCTCCTTGTTCTTGTATTCATGAAGCTATTCCATTTTGGCCCTGCAACCTTATCTCCTCTTTTGGTTCTGGCTGCTATTGACAGAGTGCAGTCCATCAATCTTTGGGTACTCCACTGGGCAGCACCAGGATTGGAAGATTTTACAGATAAATACATTGCCATGGGGCTGGCCGGCTGCTGGAAACCAATGTCGCAAAGCATGGTATAGCTATAGTGTCAGTTGCCATATCTGTCAGTTCACTTACACATGATAGGATCCCTTCCACCCAGAGCACCCTCTTGCTACAGTTATTTACAGAGCTGCCAACCTTCAGGTATGTAATCCACCTCTTCTTCCAACTTAGAGCCTCTCACCACTTGCTAATCAATACAGAAGGATACCGATCTGTCCAGTCCTCATACCCCTGTGCTGCATCTGGCTTGGCTCAGTATCATTCTCCATTGAACAATCTTTCTTACTGAGCAAGAAGATACTGCTGCACTACAAGCTTTCTCAGCTGGAATGAATGCCCCATTTCACCCCAACACACTACAGGATATGGTTTGTCTCATCAGCTAATCAGGTGTTCTTTTCTGATGCCTCACCCAGTATTTCAGGTCCTGGTCCTGAATCAAATTGCACCATCTGATCTTATCAAAATCCTTTGGTCAAACTGTTGAATCCATACTCCTGATGATGTCTTGTGGTCACTGGAGTGGGAGGAGTGCCTTTCAACCAAACTATCCCTTCCTAAGCAAAGGGCCCTCCAGACTGCCTTTAATTGCTTCCTGCACAACAGAGGCATACCACTGAAGGCTGCCAACATGCAAGAAACTGGAGATTGGGTTCCCCCTCCCTCATTCCTTCTTCACAACATGTGCAATCCCCTTTTCCATGCAACCATTTCTATCAAGTTGCCACAGGGACACCATACCTATACCCTCCCAATATGCATCTGGCCATACATCTTTTGTATTTCTATGTGATGCCACTGTACCTAATACCTTTGATGGGTAGGTGAGCATTGACTACAGCCTGTCATGCTGCAAATTCTGTGCATGTACATGCCAGGTATCTATTCCCCTACACAATGGGACAGCCTCTTGGTGCACCCAAACTACTGTGAACTGGCAAGATGACTTCAAATCAATGTTATTCATACAGATAATTGGAGATGTGCACCTTTGAGAAATGTACTCGATGGATACATACTAAACTATTGAACCTAGTTAGGTTCATGATAATCAATCCTTTGTGCTCTTCTCCATTCTCCTGTTCTTTACTTCTGTCTTGTGAATACCAAGCCATACAGCAGCCTGTGGAGGTGTAAGAGATCTTGAATCTCCTTTCTTGAACCCAGTGTTTACCACTCCGAGTCCTTGGTTGACTCTTTCAAAGCACACCTTCCAATTGGCTTCATACTACTCCTTAGTCTTTGTACACACTTTCCAGCCAAGTAGGTCATGGATCTTTGTACAGGCATGGTCTGTACTGTAGTTCTTGGTACTGTAGTCCTTCATACTGAAGTTGTCTGTCCTGGAGTTGTTGGCACTGCAGTACACTGTAGTGGCATTCTCTATACTATGGTTGTCTGTACTATGCACATCCACATTAGAGTCTAGCATACCACTTACTTATGACTTGGCCATGTCACTCCCTTGTATTCAGTTGTGTTCATGTCCCCCAATCTTTTGTGCATGACTTGTGCTAAACTCTGAGTAAACAGTAGTCACCTTCTCAACATTTGTGATCATCTGTGAGGGGGGGCCTCCCAACTGGAAACTGAAGGTATTCCCAAAGGATTTCACCTGCCCAAAGGCAAACAAAACTGCAGCCACAGTGATGTGTCACATTGGCCAGTATAGGTTTCCACTGAGACTCCAGGGTTAGTCATTGTCTCACCAGTTCATGCCAGCCTCAAGAGCAAAATCATGGTATTTACTAGGATCACCATACAATCTGATCCCATATCCCTGTTTGAACAGGTCTTGACTGATCAAACAATGCAATCTTCAAGCAGGACATGCCTTACTTTCATGGGTTTACCTTCATCTAGGTAAAACATGGGAACATATGCTGTGACATATCAGTGACTGCTGATGTACTTACTTCATTATTGGCATGCATAACAAGCCAATGCACATGCACATGCAGACTACTACCATATTCAACACACACATGGAATTAAAAGGAAGGACACAAGATTTGAGACATCCATCCATCACAACTGCATGAGAGATAACTTCTCTCTGTTTCTCTGAAGTAGTTAGTTAACAATCCCCATCAGGAAAATGTCATTCATCAATGGAGCCACCAACTCCAAAGTAGTTAGTCTCCTCATCCTTGTTGAAGGTGAGGAAGAACTCCTTCCCTCCGCCTCCCATGGTGTCAGGGCCAACCAGTTGGCTGGTTAATCTGATTCAGAAACATTTGTCTCAAGGTACTATCCCACTCACAGCATTGTATCAACAACATACTTCTGTAACTGCACAAATTTGTCAGGGCACCTGGTATCATACTCTATCAGATTGTCCTTGATGATGTCAAAAGATGCCTTGAACTGAGTATCATGATCTGTCAAAGCTTTTTGAACTCCTCCCATCCACTGTAACAGGTAAACGTGCATCTGTGTCAGGTAGTCAGCACAGTATCACTACAGACAATACTGCAACATACCACAGCACCTATGCCTGCCACCATAGCATACGGCAGACCGTTGAACAGACCCGTGTTTATGCAGGCTATCTTTGAAAACATGACTCATGACTTTCATCAGAGCCATGGAGCGGAATGGCCCACAGACATTCTCCACAGGGTTGTCCCAGTCACATGTCTCAAACAGAAAGCAGAATTCTCGACAGAGACCAGCAATCCATTTAGCAATATGGGTTTGTCCCTGGTGAACACTCCACCATAGTTGCTCAACAGAACCTGGGCTGTCTTTTCCAGCAGCAAATCACGGAATACAACAGGGTCAGTTGCTGTGACCTTTAATACATACAGTGAGTACATCATCAGATTGCATGCAGGGTGGAAACATACCATGTCAATGTACATGGTACTACCATGAACAGCCATGGGGATCACTTCCCCTCTCTTGGCCACTGCCTCAACCATGTAATCCCAGGAGATTTTTGCCCATTCTTGGGCCTGCTGTGTACTGGGCCATAGGGACATTGCAGCAGGCTGCAATGTCCACACTGTGGCCACCTCATTTAGCATGTCAATGATGGTGGATGACCCAACATCCTCAGTCTCAGGTTCCATCTTGATGGCAAATCACTGTTCAACCTCTTCACCCTGCTTGGGTGCTGACCACTGACCATGCAAAGAAGGGATAGTAGTAGTTGAGATGGTTTACATGCTTGACAAGCCCCCATTTTTGGGGATCTGTCCCAGCCAATACTCAATGGGATAGATGACAACCATTTGGTCATCATTGGTTTTGGTGAATCCAAGAGGCTTTCCAATGGTTACCAAATATTACATGGGTAATGCTCACAGAAGCTCACCATCTGATCCAAGCTGATTTGGTCATGCTTTGCCTTTTTTGACAGTGTGCTTTGCTTCCCTAAATCACTGGAGCTCCACCTCCCACACTTCTGAAAAACAGTCTCATATCAGTTCAAGTTTGTGTGGTGGTCACTGGGAGGGGTCCTCACCTGATTGCCTTGAGTCAAGTGGCTCTTGTCCTCACCTGTCGGATCAACCACATCAATCTCATGTTCTGGTACTGAAGAAAGGGGGACAAGTGTGTTGAAGTACACCACAGTGCCATGCAAAATTTGGGGACCTTGTACTGTCTTGTATCAGCTAGTACATCTCCGTATTCTGAAGGTAACTTACCATTGGTTGACACGCTTGAATCTTGGGCCTCCTGGACTGTACCCAGTGTCATTCACAACTGCCCTTCCAGTGGAGGTATGCATGCATCAATCTGACTCAACATGTGAATGCAGTCAGCATCAACATGAGACTGTGATCCTACCTCAGCCTCTGTAAGATGCATCAATCTCACGGTACTCACCTGATTGACATTTTCCTCACCAGAAGGGATGGCTGAGCTTTTGTGCTCGATGTTGCTTGCAGTCGCCATGTTACTGTGCTGGTCATGTAGCATTAGTTGTCATGACTGAGGTCAGATTAGGGCACTACCAAAGTGTTTGTTTCCACTTATCAGACTGGGGCTGTGTTCTTTCTCACCCTGCCTTCTGTGCTTGATAATCTTGCCATGTTTGGCATGGGCCAAGCAGTATTCCAAGTGTGGCATTCAAGTAACATTGCTGTATCTGCTTGTAATGGCCCATATTTCCTCTGTATTGGCCTAGTATTCTACCACATGTGCCTAACCATTGCTAATCTCCACAGTTAATGTAGTAGTACTAAGCAGTGACTCGAAAACCATTCTACCCTCCATTTTGTGTACCACCCATGTGACGTTCCGGATAAGGTTCCAGGTGATCCGTCTATGTATACTCAGGGGCTGGTGATGTAGTGTGTGCTGGACTGTTCTCTCAGTCTACCACCACTAGCAATTACACACACCGCACCATGATGCATCCTCTCCTGCCTGTCAGCCAGGATATCACTTCCTGGGAGCAATGGCAAGTGAAGACCAAGACTGTCCCTACCCCTGTGCTCATATGGCTTCGCTCCCCTTGTGGCATTTTGGAGTTCAAGTCACAACGTGCCAGATGGATGGCCTTCACAAAAGGTATCTACAATTGGAATGCACATTGTGCAGGTGATTGGGAATTTGTCCATGGGGGTATAGATGTACTGCTCAGGCAGCTCCATCTTCTGTCGAGGCAAGAAGATCTGCCCAGGTAAAGCCAATTTGTGGTCAGGTTCAGACCCATTCCTGACCCGTTTTGTTGACAGCCAAGCACATGCCTATTGGGCCACTTGTAATATTGCTGAGCTGTTGATGAACTTCCATCTACACTCTGGCCACCTCACTGAAGTGACCAATACCATCTCTTCACAGTGAGTTTTGATTGGGACATACATATCTGACTACTGCCCAGCATCCACCATCCAGATGACTTCCTCCTCCCAGGGATCCCCCACACACCTGGGAACAGACCTGTAAGCCCCATCTTGGAAGATCATGATGATCTTCAGTGGGAAATGTGAGGCCATTGTATTCTTGCTGTATCTATCTGCCTTGCTCATACGGGTTTAGTCACAGCAACCCAGACACTGTTATGGTGGATGAAATTTTTCAAGCAAGCAAGTTCAAAGTATGTGACAATGGAAAGGTCAAGAACTGCAAGCTTGTGGAGCAAGCTACCATCTATGACAATGCTGCGGACAACTACAACACAGTCTTCACAGTGAAGGTGGCGAGGGATTGCAGGTCAGTGATGAAAGAGGTGTTGTTCACCATGTACCAAGACTGTGTGAAGGTTCAGTAGTCCTCTGCAGGGCTGCTTGATAGGCATTAGTCACAGCATCTTTGCAAAGTCCTTTCCACATACTACTCAATATGATTTGATGTGACTGGAATACAACCTGTGGGAGGGAATTTTGCTTCCTTTTGAATCCATATGCATTGGTATCCATCAGTATTGAACCTCTACCCCCAGGAGTCTATCCATACCCTCTTGTTCTCTGTCCTATACCATGATGACTGCTCCAGGTGAGCACCCCCCATTGGACTTGCACATCACTAACCATACTCTAGATGGTGGTTATCCTGGATGGCTTCTCCTGCTTCTGACTGGTCACTATGGAATTGTGTATGACTTTTGCACACACTCACTGTTAGATGCTCCTCCCCTTGGTTGGTTTTTTGGTACAACTTGTATGCCTCTTTGTCTGTCTAGTGTTTCACTTACTAACCACCCCATAGGTGCATGGTACTTGGCTGTGATTTGTTTGCTTTGTGCAGCAGGCCTCTGGCATGGCCAGTATTCCATGTACATGGGCTGGGGTCATCTGACCTGGTTTCACACCCTTGTCTGATGCTTACAGTGGTTGTAGCCCCCAGGTTGTTTCTCTTCGGCGATGCTTTATCTCCAGCTGTACTCCATACCCATCCCTCAGATGATACTCACTCAAGCATTCTGTTTGGGAGGTCCGGAGGCACCTATTCCTTTGGGGCCTACCCCAGTTGGTCTCAATTGGCAGCACATGGGAGTTCACCCTCAGTTCCCCCCCCCCCCAACCCTGCCCTTGTGCACAACTGTGTTATGAGGTGGCAGGATTTGGTCATTTAGTAGGTATGCTATGGGCAGGTATGATGATTAGTGACTAACTACGGGAACAGACAATGAACACTTGATTGACATATTTGGCTGTACTTAAATGTGTTTGGCCCAGTTGTTGTGTTGTGTACATAGTCAGTAGCTTTGAACCCCCTTTGCAAATACCACTGTTGTAGTTGAATGGAGTCTATAGTGGGTGATTAAATTGATACAGCAGAGTCATATTCAAATGAATAATATTGTACTTCTCCCTGATGATCAGGGAGAAGTGCCTAAATCCACTGGCACCTTGCAACCTGCAACTAAATATAAGCAGCTTCTTTACCATGTGGACTTCCAGCCCATGAGCGGGATTCGGGCCTTCTATCTCCACCCTAATACATTGGACATTCCCACTGATTGGGCCCTTTCTCAGGGTGGAACTGAGGAATACCACATCATACTGAGATATACCAAGGATACCCAAGGCAGGAGGACCCAATCCACTGTGACATGTCAAATATCCCTGCCACCACGACATGTTCAACCCTGGGCCCATTCCAATATGGAGGGATACCTGAGTCACCTTCAGTCATGAATGTGGCCTCCACCCTTCCCCCTTCCAACACTGTTTTTCTTTTTGCTTTTCCTCAACAACAATGTCCTGAAAGTGGGTTTGGATGGACTTTGGAGAACAGACACAAAAGGCAACTGCCATTTGTGTCACACAGTTCTGGCCCATTTCTCCAGAGATTGTGAGTAGTCTACTCAGTAGTCATCCCAGCTCACTCAGTTCATAGATCCAACAAGTAACTTCATCTGTGGCTCACTCATCAACAAATGAAGGACATGTGATCAAGGCATCTAGTGACACTGCAGAGAACAACAATACCATGGCCCATCCTCCCCATACTCGTGCATTCAGGGCATGTGTGATGTTCCAAGTTACTGACACCTCTCAGGCTCTACAAATCCTCAAGAGTATTTCACCAAGATTGCACATGGCACTGCCATTCAAGGTCCTACCATCAAATCTGAGCCATCTATTGATGTCCCACGCTCACGGCAAATTGGCACAATTCTCCACACCCTGTCTGGCCATGAAGTTATCAACTTGTCTGTTGATTTGCACCCCTCACCACCAACATCTCCACCATTGCGGAAGGTGAGTGTATGTCTTTCTGCTGCAACACATGTTAATCCTAATGCAGCATTATTGTAATTCTGCCTCTCCTCTGCCTCAACACAAGCATGCAGACATGACATTAGAAGAACTATTGAGTTCCACCACACTGAAGGTAGCATGGCAGTATACTGTCAAGCAGCCACCATCCAGCTCTAGTGGTGAGGATGGTACTGAGATTGAGTCGGCAGATGAATACAAGGATACTGACTGAGTATGTGTGAATACTGCCTCTGGATGAACACCAGCTAATACCAATCACAGATCTATGAAACCAATTAGACCATGACCATTAAGAAGGTGGACACTTAATCCTGTGCATACACAAGGAAGCATGCCACCAGTCACCCTTCTCAAAAGAAGCAAATCACACCTGAGTCAAAGAAACAGTGCTTGTGTTCATACCCTGTCCCACTTCAAAATATTGTTAATGATGCCAAGAAGATCTTCCATGTCCAGCTGTATACAATCAACTTCTACCCTCAGACTAAGCAGACTCCAGACTACTTGGACAATGCTGTCACTATTGCCAACAAATGTGCCAAGGCCATGGGATTGAAACAGAATAAAAAAGGCAAGGCACCAAGTTATCAGCTGGATCTTGCCATGTACCCGGAACTTGGAAAGATGGTATGTTGTTTGTATTGCTAATCACACCACACTGTATGCTAAAGTCAGGGTAGATTTTGGGCAACAGCACCTGGGGTAGAAGTCACCTGAAGACCTTGGCCCAGGAGGTGGTGATAGATGCATATAGATTCTACCTGCATCCCTCTTTGGCAATGCATGCTCATTGTCATGCAGTCAACATGCTTCTCAGTGTCAACAACATGGTCTATGCTGAAATCGAGTTGAACAGCAATGTTGTGAAGAAATGCTGTGGCCCTTTCTGTCATCCCGCGATCAAGATGCTATACAACAGGGCATTCCTGGGGAATCCTGGTATGGTCAAGGGCTTGGCTTAAGAATATGAAGATCTTTTCAAGGCAGATATGTGGCCCTTGGGACTGGTTGCTGTGCTGAGCATGATGGTGTGCAGTGCAACACCTATTTACTTTGTTGACACTGACTGGCATGGTAGCTTCACTTCGCACTCCAACAGTATGCTTCTGGTGCTGTGCAATGTGATGAGAAGATGAGCTTCAGAAGTGAGGCTTTTGAGTCCCATTACTATGCCTACCTCCTGAATCTGAAGAAGTGCAAGGAGGAGAACCAAGTGGCATGCCAATGCATGCTGGAAGACTTGCTTTGGTGACCAATGTACGGCATGTGTCTGTGTTCTCGTGAACATCATAGCTCATTTTTTCTCCAGTACCATCACCAAGCAGGAGCAAACAGAGGAGTCCACCAGCAGCTGCATTTTTATGAATTTTGATGGGACAGAGGAGCTGGATGAAGACTGAGTGTACATGTGTTCATATTGTGGCCATTGTCACCATGATGACTGTGTGCTGTGTGCTTCACGCATCATATATAGGCTTTCACATGCTTAGCTTAGCATCTTACAACTGGAATACCAACTGATACAGGCGATGTCAGGGCACCAGCTCATTGCTTGGTCAAGAGACATGACTAAGCCTTTATGACATGGAAGTAGCTGGTATACCTTGGCATGTGCTGGAACCTGCTGGAAGGATTGGATGGTCAGGTGACCTGCTGTGCATGGCTGTGCATGACCTCATATAACCTCATCCTTGGTCATATGACCTGATCACCTGACTAGGCTGAGTAAGCAAGATGTTCTAGCAGGTTCCACCACAGAGGTATAAAT